AAGCGAGAAGGGAGACTTGGTGCTAGTACTACTACTACTTACAGTACTAATATTAGCTAATCTAATATGCCGAAGCCATACCTCGCCTACTCCACTAACGAGTCTACGGGTAGCCACCTACGGGGTGCCCTACTCCCTAACCCGTAACCGCTAACCTCTAACCACTATAGCTAGATAGTTACCAGGGTACGTTTCGTCAGTACCCTGGGGACATACGACTCGTTCAAGGGATAAAGAACATAAGGGTGCCGGCAATAAAACCCAATGTCATTTACAATCATATAAATCAGCGGAGTAGATGAATAGGGAGGAGTGCTGACATGCAATAAACAAAGGAAATTCCGTCATTTACCTAGCCTTATAAATACCTAACGATTACTACGCGACTCATGCCAACTTGAACTCAAGATCGGACACAGGACATTCGGCCTATCATCGTGCGAAATTGTTCCTGCGTAGACCCGCAGTCCGGAGATACAGCCTATAAACGTACGACAACGATTCCCAATTCTTTGGCCATCAATCCGACGCCAGTTTCGCGGCGCGCTATAATTCAGCACAATAAGGCAGCAACACTGCCGCGCAGCTCCGGCGGTTTGCTCTCTCGGAATGCGGGCATGTGGCGTGTGGCTCGGTGGGAATTGGACATCGGCGCAAACACGCGACGAGTAGGCCGGTGTGATATGAACAGTGATGTATTAGGGGCGACTTGCAGTGTGCATCAAGGCGCGGGCTAATCCTCGGCGGTGGCGTGCGTGCGTGAAGGCATATGCCAGCTATGTAGGCAGAGTGGCCTGTGTACTGTGTAGCCGGGTCGAAAAGGTATCTCGCGCAGTGTGATGCCTAATCTCCAGGCGACCAATGCCTGCTGATTAGCAATAGCGGCGTAGGTGCTCCTTTGTTGAATTATAGGCGCGCTATGACGTGGAATGAGTGCCAAAGAAATGGAAGAATCGTGTCGTATACTTTTAGGGCTGTATCTCCGATTGCCGGTGTCTCCGCAGGAAATACGATTTCGCACGATGAATAGGCCCCGAGAAATTTGTTTTTTTTTACTGTGTGCCGGTTGAGCTCAAGTTGGCATGAGTTACGTATAAAATCCGTAGGAGTATTATACGGCGCTAGTAAATGACGAATTTTCCCTTTTGTTTATTGATGTCACACTCCTCCCTATTATCTACTCCTGATATAAATATAATATTATATCAATATAATAGGTTATGGTTATGGTTAGGGTTAGGGTTAGAATTAGGGTTAGGGTTAGGCACATTGGTTTTATTGGGACCCATGTTCTCTATCCTTTGGCCCATAGACTCTATGAGCACTAGTTGTAGTAGAAACCAGAGTGAACACAATTTACCTGATTTAGATTATCTATTATAAGTATAATGGAGTTACATTGCTAACTGTTTGGATATCATACAAGAAGGCATTCAGTATAGGTAAGGCAGATGGTGGACCTTTTACGTATAATTTAATTATGTGATTGTTTTATCGTTTAAATTAATAAGTGCATTAATTGTTTACTGCTGCAGAGCCCAAGTAAAACGTCCCTCTATCTACCCCTTACATCTCTTTAAACAGTTAAATGCCAAACCACAGTGGATAGAGTATTTAAAATCTTTGTCAAGATTAAGATAAAGAAATTATGACATTTTCCTTTATTTAGGCTTCAGTAGTGCCGAGCTCTCTTCATCTGACACAGATGAACAAACAATACATCAACCAGAAACTAGCTCTGTTGAGGAATTGCCTGTTAATGAACCTATGAAAGCCCAGATTGAACCACCTGAAGAAGGTTTCACTTCAACATACCGTGACAAGTTGTACTACTACCAATCCTTTATGGTTAAGGATCCAGGATTTACATCGAGCAACAGTGGTGATGTGTGTGATGCAGATGATAATGAAAGCTGTTCCGAGAGTGCAGCTGACACAGAATCATTGCCTGCCTTGCAGCAGTCAGGTCAGGAAACTGTCAACATAACAGAAGCTGCTGGAAACTCTACAACAAACCAAACTCGCATTACCTGTATTCCAGCAGAAATATCGGACGGTTATGAACCAAGTGTTCGCATCGTGAACGGCTCAGAGCTTCTGGATTCACTCAAGTTCGGCAATGATAGTAAATACGGAAATTGCTTGCTGGTTTTTTTCTACACTCCCTGGTGCCCTTTCTCTGCGAAGGTTGCTCCCCATTACAATGCACTAGCGAAAGCCTTTCCAACATTGCAGATCGTTGCCATTGATGCTCTGAAGTTTAACAGGTAGTCATTCAATTATCTTGCAAAACCGTATAAAACCCTTGGAAACCTTTTAGGTAACATTTCTGAGTTGTCAATGTAGTATTTGTATTTTTTGTTGCAACTTTCCTAGTTTTGCAAATGTTCATAAAATTCTCTTTTTTCCAGTATCAACACACGCCTAGGAACTTTCGCAGTGCCAAACATAGTGCTATTTCACAGTGGACGGCCGGTTCTGAGGTTTAACCAATCAGAGCGCAACCTTGACACTCTGAAACTCTTTGTGTACCAAGCAACTGGATTACAGGCCAATGCCTATGTGGTAGTAACTGAGGAAGACTATTGGGGTAATATACGGATTGTTTATTCATACTGATTTTAATTTGTTAAACGTGAAAGCTATGTGATGCCACTATTGTCAAGCTAGTGGTCATAGAAATTTACTTTTTGTGATAACTCAGACAGGAAAATCTTATTTTAATGCTCGAATTAGAGACATTAGATGATGGTAAAAAATACAGCCCCAAGTTTGAATAGAACAGTCAGTGATCTGAGATCATTCGATCAAAGAGTATAGGTTTATGAAACGTCAGTAAATGTTAAGGTTATATGTTTGGAAAAACAATGTAAAATCTGCTTATCTGTAGTTTTATCTCATTTACGTGGTTTTTCAGGACCTTTACCAAGTGAACCTGAGCAAAGAACTGACTACATGCTGTGGCTGGCCTGGAGCTTTATAATATTTTGTGTGGTTTGGTTTGGATTTCAATCCACTACCGGTGAGCGGGTTATCACGCAGCTACATCGGCATCTACGGACCTTAGTTCACAGGCATCAAGCATAGCCTGCAACATTGCACACGTGTGGTTGCGTGTGTGAATTCTGTTGGTATATCACTATTGGGAAGATCAATCGTAAGCTCACTGGTAGGCAGAGGTGTGCGTATTTCACTAAAATGTACTTGTTTCTGTACAGCTTATTATAATGTAGAAACAGGTTTGTAAATTGTGATAGTGAAAGGAATTAATTAAATAACAATCGTTTGTTCAAATAAGCATGTTTATCTCTTCAACAATAAATTTTTATTGCTATAGAAATGCATATTAAATTGCTATCACCCTGCAATGCGTCATAACAACTCTATATATTCAAAACAGTGCGATAAAATTATAAAAAGGTATGAAAAAACATTTACATTCATAATATCAAAGTCAATATAATTATATTGTTGTAACTGCACTAACACTAAGATTCAAATAACAATTTATTAAACGTAGCCCATAATAACTGCTTCCAATTTACACAGAGTACCACGTTCATTGTGATTATAAAATATACACTGAGCCGCAAGAATGTTCATTTTTAACATCCTAAACGTATCACAACCAGAGTTTATATGTTAAATAAAGTAACACCCCCCCCCCCATTATGTATAAATACGTAATGCGAATCATGCTTTCCCGTCGACTTCCATGCTATAATTGGAGATACCTACAGAAAATCTTTGGGTTACAAGATTTACTACGAGGACAATTACGAACGCAAGTAAAAACAATGTAACACAGTATCATAATAATGGAAAACATGCACTCGTAAAGTATGGGAACTTAGAATTGCAGTTGCTCTGAGAATGGGAGCTCCACTCTTATTAGTCCGTCTAGCTTTTATTACCAATATCATGGATTGGCTTTGGCTGTTTCAGGATCTAACCTGGCAGCCAAAACATTATCTAAAATTGCTCAGCAACGTGTACCTCATCGGGGTGGCCAAAGCTGTCATAACAAGGGGTATTACTGTACTATATTTCACACAGTTTTAGCTGGCAGCTCGAAACGACACGACATAATTTACATTTTAAAGTAAGCCAACCATGCCTAAATTAAATACTGCCTAAATAAATGATTTTCAACATTTCCTATACTTGAAATTTCATTACACATAATTTACTAAAGTGCACATTAAACACGAGTGCCCTTGAATGCTGGTATGATCCTTTGGAGCACAATGTACGACGACATACTTGTAATAAGTAATCTTCCTAGGATAAAAATTAGAATAATATATCGAGATATGTTTGTGGTAAGGGTGGATTATAAACCCCTTTTTAAAATGATTTCACAGGTGATTTAAATTTGTAGAAATTCATTTTAATTTTAATTTCTTTGAGAAGAAGCGTGGCATTCAACACAATATTTCCTCACAATCGTCACTGCCAAAATAAATTCCTTGCAGCAAATTTCTACAACAGCCTGCAAAATATACAGAGCAGACTACACAGTACAGTAATATATACAATGGCTAAACACCATTTTACTTTCTGAAGATGGATAGCATTAATAATCGTGGATAAAATACGAGATTAAAGGCACTTATTGATTCTAACTACTTGTGATAAGCACATCATAATGGTAATATTCGTGCATCAAATCCAGATTCATAGATTCCCAGAAGTTGAGTAGTTTGCATATTTCAATGGCTGTATCCTCTCCCTATTTTTCTGTAGAGAAGATGCCATGGGCAGATAGCCTATAGTCCCTGGAATGCTTCCAGGTAGGGTTTAGACTTGCCTTTTTTAAGAATTTTATCCTCTCCCAATTCTGCTTTGTTTCCATTAGATGAATTTAACAAAGGCTGTGATTCCATTGGAGCAGGACAAGCGCTAACTTTAAGAACGAGTTCATTACCATGACTGGCACCAGGTGGCGCCACATCAGAAGAAACCTGTTCCTTTGGATGAGATTCCTCGTCATTTGTCAGTGTTGCCTCTTGTACTTCGTGTTCTGGCTTAAGGAGTGGGTTGGCAGGCAACATGGAAGCACTATTATTCAGATGTGTGTCAACCTGCCCATCGTCACCTTCTGCTTTTGACGGCTCGCTCTTTTCTGTACTACAATCGGCCGCAATTGTCACTTTATCTTCAGCCTTTGAAGTGTCATCGACAATGTATGCAGCAGCCTCGTTCACACTGCCATGGTTTTCCTCTGCGGTGCTGGGTTTCACCAGCTGTTCGCTTGTTACAGCTGAATCACAGACGGCTACATTTCTTTCTACTGGATAACAGGCCATTGTTTTCTTATAGAACTGTGGACACTGAACACTAGGTGTCGCCGAGGATATTAATGGTGCAACGTGCCGAGTAGTTTTTGCATCAGCCGGTGTGTGAACTCCATTTCGCGTTGTCATTACACTTGGTGACATAGCCGGAGGGCTGGTAGGAATGGGAGGTATGAGACTCTGAATCTCACTCTCTACCTCAATGTCCATGTTGAGTTTTTCCATAAGCTCACTCAGCTTGGTTGCCTTGCGTAGCTCATTTGCCTGTATTATTGCATAGAGATGCTCAGTAAGTTGCTCCTTGTGCTCCGAGCGCTTGTGTAACTCGAGCTTTGCTTCGATGAACTCTTTCTCAGCTTTGTCGTATCGCTTCCTGAATACAGGCACATGCGACACAATTAAGGATACTGAAAATGATGGCTGACACTGCCACAGAATAGCTATTCATATCATATTTTTATATACCAAGAGTGATGCATATATACATATATATATATATATATATCAGGAGTTAATAAAGACAAAGGAGTTTGACACGTATTTGGTACTGATTTCACTACATTTTGTCGTACGAGTTCGATGTGAATAAAAATACAAATGTATACAAACATGCGCTTCTTTTGTTCACTGGTCCTTATTCTATCTCCCGGTAGTATTACAAACCGCGTAGCTTCCTTCGTTTTGACATAAATCGTACTTTTGCACGACATGGTTTTCACGTTATTTACCATCGTGTGGCGAGGCCAAGCAGTAAATTCGCATACACAGCAACTGGAAGGAGGCGCGACAGGGATTGCGTCTCCCGTACGTTATCTCCCGAAGAAGTTTTTGTTCGGCTAACAAAGCCGAGTGATGACGATGTTAACTCTCGCCTTTATCACATACAGATGGTCATGATAAGTAAGGTAGGTGTAAACACATGCGTTTGCCTGCAATTGCATAGTAACGGTTGCTATGCAAAACAAGTTCGAAAAACTACAATCAGGTGGAGCGGCAATTTACTCGCTAAGATTCATACACATCATTCCTCCAGTAGTAGTAGTTCAGATATTTTACCAGCGCAGCGTTTATTTAAAAAAAACTGGGATTCAACCATAAAAACAAGGCATTCAACTATAGTTTCAATGTAAAATAGTTTAAATTTTTAAACCCAGCATGGGTGCAACGTAACTTAATTTCTAAGCGCATTTTCTGCACTTAGCTAGACTATAGCCTAAAAGCCCTGCCACGCCTCCTTCCAGTTGCTGTGTATGCGAATTTATCGCTTGGCCTCGCCACACGACGGTAAATAACGTGAAAACCATGTCGTGCAAAAGTACGATTTATGTCAAAACGAAGGAAGCTATGCGGTTTGTAATACTACCGGAAGATAGAATAAGGACCAGTGAACAAAAGAAGCTCATGTTTGTATAAATTTGTATTTTTATTCACATCAAATTCGTACGACAAAATGTAGTGAAATCAGTACGAAATACGTGTCAAACTCCTTTGTCTTTACTAACTCCTGATATATATATATATCGGACACAAGTCTAGGTGTAAAAATATCTGAACTCCTTCCAACCCCTATTACATTTTCCCCCTTTAAATTAATTTTTACTGTCACTAGCTTGCCTTTGTACAGTTAGTGGAATTGACATTTACATGGCACACTCCATATTACACAGCAATTGCAGTTAACACTGGTTACTGGTGAACTCAAGCTATCTTTAGGCGTGCAACATGAGGGAAAACAGTAGTGCACACAGTCTGTGTCTGTGCAAACGAAGTCGTGATCAGTGTGAATAAAAATAAAGGCGTGTCCAATGCTTAATTATCAAAAATTCAATTCATCCACGCCTTAATCACATTTAATTTATCACATTTAATTCAATAAACACCGAGTTCCTATATCTTGAATAGTTACCTAGTCACATGAGAAATCGCATTACCCATGTACATTTACATTTTTAAGATATAGATTTATATATATATGGCATGGTTTATTTCTTTAATACACATTTTTCATGGCTTCTCATAATTAAAACAATGAGCAGCTAATATTTTCCAGCTCCGGAAGATAGACCAATACATAAAAATCTCAAGGAAAGGGAAGCTGATAACATTTTCTTTACTTGAAGTTCCATTATAATCACCTGTTCAGTTGTCTCGATAAATACCAGGGCACAAAATTCAGATTTTTTTGCACCGGCCCAAAGGGCTGGTAACAGTAATTTTTACCAGCCCTCACAAATTTGTTTGTAAAATCAATGTCATGTTTCATGCTCGCATTCTCGATTTCAAATTTGAAAAATGTTGATAAGTTATGGCGTGATATCCTTCAGGTAAAACAATAATGTAGGCCATTTGCTATAAATAATGTAGGCCATAAATAAGAATGTAGGTACTCGCTAACACAGCTGAAACCGCCGGCTCGGAGGGCCGGTGTTTTGCCAATGTTACCGGCCCTCCAAATAATTTGCCCGCATATGCCGGAGGGCCGGTGCTAATTTTGCGCCCTGAATACTGTTGTACTTACTGCGCGTCGGAATACTCGCGACTCGCGTCTTCTATCTTGTCTCGCAGCAAAGACACATCAACGGTGAGAAGAGTGTCCAGATGACCAAGGTCCTTCTGAATCTCAAGCAGCTTCTGCTGCTCTGCATGAGTTCGCTTTTTCCTGCCATAGAAACAGTGCGAGCGTGTTAGTTAGTTAGCTAGTTAGTTAGTTAGTTAGCTAGTTAGTTAGTTAGTTAGTTAGTTAGCTAGTTAGTTATCCCTCGTAGGTGCCTAGATGACACATAAGGCAGTGGCAAGAGATCTCCAACGTCTCAGACCGCTACTACTGGCCTCAGCGTTGTAGTGTAGTTAGTATGTTATGCTTTACTTTCTGTATTCGTTTACGAACACGTGATCTATGACACTATTGTATATGCAACACGTCATGGTGAGAATAAAACATACGGGGTCTTTGAGCCTGTGTGATGAACAGAAACAGACGTGTTTACTTGAGTGTTCAGAGGCAAGAGCTTACAACACTATAACTATAAGCGTGTTCCAAGACAGGTCATACATCCGCATCTCCCTCTCGATGGTTCTTCTCCAGGTCTCCTTGGGTCTTCCTTCCCCTTCTCCTCCCATCTGGCATCCAACTAAGTGCCGTCGGTAACTAAGTGGTGTCCAAATGAGTGTGAGTGTGCTAAGCTTCTGCTTATTCCCGCTCGTTGCCCATGACACAAGCTGTTGCATTAGCTGCCTTTTTGAAATAGAGACACCTCAATACGCCTACATCTGCCACGACATCTACGTACCCTTCATAGTTGCACCTGTTTGTATACCTTTATATCACTAGTAGTGGTTACTTTTGATTATGCAAATGTTGTTATTGTGAATATGGATAATCAGTATAACTGTCAGCACGAACGTATTAATACTGAGGTTTATGTTGTTAAGTATTTAATCACCATATTACATTGAAACAACTATGAAGTTCAGACACAACCAAGTCAATGCTGAGCACTGCCACATGTACAAAATCGTAAGCAGCATACAACAGCATTCAATCTATTGTAATAATAAATAAATAATACTAAAAAAGCAAATGAAAAACAAATCAAGTCAATCAAAAAATACAAGAATAACAAGTCAGTGTCAGTGTTGGCAAAGACCTTCCCGAAATAACTGCGGAACTAGCAAGTTTTGACCTCAACCATGCAGTCACCCAGCCAAACTTCAGCAGGTTGGGAAATTTGCAAATTTCGTGAATATATATCCACATTAATTAATTCTACTTCTTATGATTACAAGAACCAAACGGTTCACGAGGAGCATTGACTTGTAGGTTAGCAATAAATATTTATGATATAAGGAAACAATAAAAAGAACATTGATGTAAGGTCAGAGTGTGATCTGAAAACTAGATATTTATGTTGAACGTTGAACAAGTAACGCTCATAATATAACTCACGAATAAAATTACTGCCTATGTGTTAAAACGGTCACGTACCTTTCTGATATGGCTTGAGTTAACATCTGCCGTCGCTTCGCATTCTGAGCTTCAATCAATTTTTGCTGCTGCTGAAATTTCTCCAGGTTCGATATCTCCCGACTATAACAATAACATTGGGAGAAAATTACATCACGCGTTCACAGCATAATTGGCACAAGTTTGTTTGCTGTATATTTTTTTAAATGTACTTGAATATTCCCATTTACAGACACTGCGTGAAGTGTTAGCCTATTTTTAGATACATTGCACTACTGCTGTATGTGGTACCTCACTGCTGTGGTATCCGATTGCAAAATGTAGCTTAAGAGTGTCTGCATTGATGTTTTGTTACATAAATACATCACAGCAAAAAGCATCAACATCAGAAACATTCGCCATTAGATTTCAACACATTGGAGCCAGATAAGTTTGTGTGAGAATAGCTAAATGCTTTTGACAAGAACTTTTAACATGGAAAACCAAATCTATGTATTATCAGCTGCTACATACTCTCGACTGAACACTAAACACTTCACTGAACACTGGTGACGCGATGACTAACCATGATACAACATCCACGATACAATTCATGATAAAGCTTCGCATGACTATCGATATGCCACAAATGCCAAAAATAAATCTGCACTTAACTCAGTTAATCACCGACTTGATTCGTTTGTCATGGTTGGCAAAATCTCGGTTGTGTGCAACTCGCATGTTTTCATGTGAGAGAAGGAGCATGCCGATTTGAAAATGTCATGTTTAATGTCCAATCACTATATGACTTGTAAATTCTGATTCTATTTCCGTGAAATGGAACATTTCCCCAAAAGTCACGAAAACATAATGATGGTGTTTGTATTATGTACCATATCGCGATACATATCAATAACTGTCGTAGTGTGCCCAAATATCATTGTGCATATTGTATTGTATCGTGGCATAAATGTCGTGATGCGAATCGTATCGTGAACTAGTCATATCGATACATCATACAGCCATATTGAAAACCTGCTGTAAATACATCATAACATTGCAAACATTAAAGTAGTTTAAAGTATATAAACTATATTAACGTATACGAATATTACTTGATTCCTTCCTCTTCATCCAGCTCTTCAATACCATCTGGGATTCTGGCATTTTCTTGCACGAGTTCTGCCGTTTGACCTTTATTTTCCGAGATCGTTGAACTACTCTTGCTTGTCGATTCAACCCGTTCTTTCCCACACTCAACTTGCTTGGGCTTTCTACTGTCATCTGGTTTAACTGTACAATGTTTCTCAGCTGATTTAGAAAGTGACTGATTGGGATCGATTTCAATGTTTGCAGAGGCACCATTGGACTTTTGCTGTTTAAATGCTTTCTCCTTACCCATTGGCTTTCTTCTTGTGCCTTGCTGTTGGGTGAAACGCACCTGCTATCAAAAGGTGTATCCATTAGGGAATATAACTAGTCTGTTGCTTTACATGCATGCAGTCAAACCTATGTATAGGGATCACTAAAACGAAATGCGAAAGTTTGCATTATAGACAGTGGACAATTCTAAAGATGTGACTGCTCACGTAGATTTAGTTTTACATTGTTGCACCCAGGGGCGGCGCCACAGGGGGGGCAGGGGGGGGGGCGGTCGCCCCCCTATCATTTGCAAGAAAAAGGAAAGAAGAAGAAGAAAAAGAAAAGAAAAAAGAAAAAGGAAAAAGAAAAAGAAAAAGGAAAAGAAGAAGAAGAAGAAAAAGAAAAAGAAATCTTGCAAATGTCTTTGCAAATGATGGGGTGGGTGGGGGTCACCCCCCCATCATTTTCAAGAAAAGGTAAGAGAAAAAATTCTTGCAATAATAGGGGATCGCCCAAAAATAAGTGTATGTAGCCTACAAGCTGGACCACTTTTCATCGAAAATCGAAAAATTAAGGTGTCGCAAATTCAATCATATTAAAACCTGTGCTTAATTGATATCGCATGTCAAGTCGTTATTTTTCCTGGGTAGTCCAGTTGGGGCACATCATTTTGGTCGATGTCTGCTGTTTCCCGGCGGAAAGGTAGGCACACACTTGAGGTGTTAACAACTTATAAATTTATATTAACAACGTTCAGACTACCTCTAATAATACTCTTACATGCTATCTTATTTCTTACCTCCGCCAACGAAGTGGAGGGGAGTTATGTGATCGGGTCTGTGCGTTGCGTGTCACGTTAGCGGTGGTGTGTGTTGTGTGTGTGTTGTGTGTGTCGTGTGTGTGTGTTATGTGTGTGTGTGTGTTGTGTGTGTGTGTGTGTGTGTGCCTGTGTGTGTGTGTTGTGTGTGTGTGCTTACGGTGTGTGTGTGTGTGTGTGTGTGTGTGTGTGTACGCATCATATTACGCGTCAGCGAGCGACCGCCCACAGCAGGCTGCTGTGACTGAGCGGCGAACGCAGCCATCACATATCGGCTGGCGTATATCGTGGCGTTATTCGGTGTGTCGAGAGTCCTATGGCGTATGTCGCGACGCGGAGGTATGCCTCTACTCCGTTGAGTGCCCTCTGTCTTAGTTTTATTAGTATAGGTATGCCCGCACGCCGCGCGCATGTGCTGGTGTGTGTCTGGGTGTGTGTGTGCGTAGTGCGTGCGTTCATCTTCTCTTCCGGGTCTGTTTTTCTTTCTCTACATAATACAACAATTATTGGTTCAAGTTCTACAGCATAGATTTTAAGCAAATCACTTGTTCCCCCCAACAGTTCCGGAGACCCCTTTTAAACGGTCCAGTTTTATAGCATTAATTTCAATCGAAATGCAACTAGTTCGGAGGACCCCCATTTTCGAACTAGCCGGTTCCAGAGCATACCACATTCAACAAACATAGTTTTCTAGAGACACCAGTTTCCAGGTCTGAGTTTAGCTTCGCATAGCCCCCCCCCCATTTTTAACTTAGCCCAGCATACCAGATACCTACCATAATGTGGGGTGAGTCCCCCCCCCGGGTTTCAATCTCTTGGTATATGTTGGTCCTTGGTTCCCTGCACAATTTTTTGTCAGCAATTTGAGGGCTTTGATTAGCTAAACTCTGAGAGCTTTCCGGACCCCTGGGGCCGGATTCATCAAACGTTCCGCAAAGTGTATTGCGTACACAGAGTTTCTACGAAGTACGTACGCAAAGCTCGTAGGTCCGATTCATCAACACAGCGTAGCCACCTGCCGTGCCGCAAATGTTGATGAATTCCGGTGTAAATCCACTACGCCATCGTAGCTGCTGGCTGTTGAGGGGCGTGCTAGCATAAACCAATCACACTGTGCCACACATACCATAGGAACCAAACTGACGCCTCTCTTGTATGTAAACCATATGGCCCTCTAGCGTCAACAGGAGTGCTTGGGGGATGTGATAGTTGTCCTCATTTTCGTTTGTATGATTGTGATTCCACACTCGATGAAAGCAGCGACACGTACGCGTGCGTGCGTGCGTGTGCACGTACACGTTGCTGGCGTGTGCACTACACGTGCGTTGCTTGCGTTACGTACACGGCGCGTGCGTGCGTGCGTACGTACGTACACGTGCGTGCTTGTGTGCACGTACAAGTGCGTGCGTGTGAACGTCAAGTCGCGCACGCGCGTGTGCACGTACACGGCTAACTACGAACTCGCTTATAACGAAAACAATGCCAAGCTGTGACAAAAAAAGCGTCAAAGGCGCCGCCCTGTCTGTGTAGTATAGTAATTATTTATTATTTTAGTTGAGTAGCTGATTTTATAATGTTTTCTCAATAAAATAATGCATGCTGCGGTATGCTGGAACACCTGCCGGAAATTTCGAGTGGTTTACGGCACCTCGTCAGCTCGGTAGTAAGTTACAAAAAGGTTTACTGTAAATTTTAGCTTGATGAATCGCCACTAAAACGCCTCGCTGGGCGTACCGCGAAATCGTACGAAAATTTACTAAATAGCTGTGTTGTTGAATTCGACAACTAAGCAACGTCGATCTGGTACACAAGATTTACGCAAAATATTTTGCGTATGCAGCTTGATGAATCTCATGAATCTACCCTGGATCCACCCGTCAGTGCAAGCGCACACGGTAATCAGGGCGTGTACAGGGGGGTCCAGGAGGTCCGGACCCCCCCTACTCGCGCAGAAAACGCATCTGAGGGGGTCTAATTAAAAAAAAAACCTGGGGGAGCCCCCCAGACCCCCCCTTCGCGTGCTCCTGTACACGCACCTGGTTTCGCCCCCCCTAACAAAATACCCTGGCGCCGCCCCTGGTTGCACCTGATAATTAATCCGAATTTATACATACACCGCAAACATTAGGTATGAGTTCAACTATATGTGTATTTGTTCTCCAATAATTTATGATCAGCAGTTTGTCCACCCACCTGCTTTCCACCCTGCTGATGATGTCCAACCATTGCAGAATTCACCTGTGCTCCTGGTGGCATTCCAACTTGTAACTGCATTGGAGAGACCTGTGCCCCAGGTGCTGCTGAATTCAAAGAAACAAGTTTCATTAGTGAATTGTGTAGCTTGTTGCAAACTGGGTAGGGTCAACCACTTTCAATTAGAACTGCTTTTACATAACGCTAGGTAAAATACACGGCTACTAACACACAGATATGATGATATGATTACTAAGTTACTACTCACTACATATGTTCATATTTTTACCATATGGTAGTAAAAAATGTTTACTATCCACATACAGCTACTGGAACACAAGCATCCGAGACGGAAAATGATGCATTTGGCTAATACCCTGAGAAAAAATATACATTTCATAACAAGAAGGCAAACCAAGTTAACACGTCTCACTATAAACACGTACCGTAAACAAAACACACAGGCCTCATGTTTGACGGATACATATTACAAATGTCGTGTTGCAGACTCAATAACGCATCAGTAAATATGGCTGCTCTAGATTGGGTACTGCTGCTCCGATGCCTCCACTCCTCAGATTCCTAAGGATATAAGCCCATCTGGTGGAGCTATTTATAGAACAAAGACCCTCCCAGTCAGTGGTACATTTACCGCACGCAAAAGAAGGTACGTACGTACATGCTGACATCAGAGCTAAACACATGCTTAGCATATTTGAAAGCATATATGGCACATGAGCAGTGTATACATTCAGCATACCAGGGCTTCTTCTGAGTGAAAATTAACGTGCATGATAGATTCAAAGGCGTGCCGTAGGCACGCATGCATACGCTGCAGGCGGACGCGGGGGAGAGAGGGAGAGGGGGAACTCCCCCTCTCGCTGGGGGGTTCTAGGGTGGTCTCCCCAGAAGCACTTGGTGATCTATTTATTTTTGGGTTGTTACAGGAGCATTTTCACAACGGCGATGTTAAATTTGACAACGGCGGTACGCCACTGTGCCTCTTAGGTATAAGAAACCTTGCATACTATAGTGAAGCTCCGATTCATGTTATGTTATTATTCACCCGTCATACTGCTGGGGGTGAATGTAGTTGCAACCATATGTTCTTAATTGTCTCTGTCTGATTAGTTTCAAACATTTAATAACCAGCTAAACATTCCAAAAAGCAAAACCATATTAGCCAAAATCTAAAGCAGTTTACAAATGTAACACAATCCTAGATATGCTGCATTGAGTCTGAAGTTGCTGCAATAAATCTATAATAAGTATATGCTTCTATAAATTTAGAAATCCAGAGAGACGGGATACAAGAGACGTGTTGCCGAAAGGAGGTGTTGATCCTAAGCGCTGAGCTCACATCTTGCGCGCAGTTCCGCGGCAAGGCGCACGCGACCGGGGGAACGTCCTACGACTGTATGCAGCGCTGGCAGCTATGGATCCGTGCGCCGAATGCATAGGCCGGCGCACGGATCCATAGCTGCCAGCGAACAGTCCGCAATTTTAGCGTAGGACACAAAGGGCAGACATTTGGGATGTGAGAGGAACCCGCAACTTACATGGGGGGTCGTACAGATGGGGGGGGGGGCGAGAGTGAAGCTTTTGATTTCTCCGTGGTTCCATTAGGCGTTTTCACTATAAGTTCCAAACATAAGAAAAATCGGACAATTACTTAATGGAAAATTTGATAAAATAATGATACGAAATAGTACGCGGATTGTGCGCCTAGTAAGGCTAGTTACCTCTTTGAAATCATACGCTGTTTAAGAATCGCCATTTGCTGCATTTCCCCGGAGCTCCGCCCACTTTAAAAATATTGCTAGCATTGTGGCAGTAATATCCTGAGTGTACGAACGAGTTAGTATTTTGATTTTCGATTTTTGATGACAGCAGGCGAAAGTGCAGCATTTGAATACAGCTTACTTCATTAGCATTATATATAGTATCTAATGATTTCCTGACAGCTTCTTTTTCTATATATAAACAATTAATACATTATCTGGCATCTCTATCATCTATGTGACCTTGCCTTATATCATATGCACCCCTAGTCCGCAAATGCAGACATTATAACTCCGCTTTGCTAATGTGATGGTGCGGGTTTATCATCACCCCCATTACTGGGGTCTGCGTCGGCTCAGACTAATGCACCCCTACCACTACAATCTCCCACTTCCATTGTCATTGTTAGTATCAGGAACTAGCTAGAGTAAATTGCTTGCTATATAAGCAGGGGTTGTCTAGTATAGGGGTATTCTAACCCTAACAAAGACCGTTTCTTGGAGCTAGTAGTAGCAGGGGCGTAGCTACGGGGGGGGGGGGCTGGGAAGGCACGTGCCCCCCCACAAATTTTCTGTGCCCCCCATGTGCCCCCCCCCCACTAAAAATTCATGCTTGATAAAAAAAATTGAATTAAAAACAATGCCGTTAGAACAGTATAATACAAAGAAAGAGGGTTCGAACCACATCTCAGTAAAATTATATATCGGCCGAGCGGGCAAAGTCGTACGCAAATAGTAGGTCTCAGGGGAGAGATAGTGAATATAGAAATAAGTTGTCAACTGAAAATGCTAAGAATAGATTGTAACATAATTATTTGATATCTCCTGCTTATTATGAGCTATAATACTTATACAATGTAATGTATAGTCTAATAGTAATCATATTGTAAAAATCCTCCAAACTTCAAATGTGCTGTTGCTTTTGACTTTTTGCTCACGTGACTACAATGGCTAACATGACATCTGCACCCACATATATTACTTTGAAAGGAACATAATCGGAAACATGAGAACATCACATTGGTCTCTTCAAGATGGATACAGGAAGTTGAAGCGGCAGTGACGATTGCAGGGCTAGACTGGTACCTCCCTTCACTCCGCCAACTATCGTTGGCTACACTAAAGTGAGTTACGGTAGCGTGTGGATCGAACTGTCCACCGGGTACCAGTCTAGCTTTGTGTAGAAAAAAGACTTGGAAATGCTATGTACATGGCCTCGTTGCGCCATCTATCGGACGCCATATGTACGAGAATAATTTCCCGGCGTGAAACGGAAAAAATGGAAACTCGCTTTTCTAGAGGAAAACGAAACGCGCCGAGCAGCAAACGAACAATTACGACCATTTCTAGGAAATGCATGTCTAGCTACGTGCGTAGTGAAAAGGCTTGCGGAATCGCCACAACTGCTCAATTGAGCAATTATACGGCTTTGGTCTCTACCCAAAGGGACCTGGGTAAGCTGTTCGAAAAAGTGCAGCGAATTTGAGTTAGTGTGCCGCTACGCGGCGTTTTTCGCGCTTCACGCGGATCCGGGCTGCCAATCATCTAGTCTAATTTGTATTCAATTTAAGTATAATATTACCACATTGCATTCTAGGGTCAGTTTCATTTAAAAGCATTCAAAATAATACCCAACCCCATTATCATTATGTATGCTCAGTACTTTTCATGAGTAGAGCATTTATTAAGATCAATGTTTATCTCTACAATTGAATACCAGTAAATTATACTCAAACAATTTTCACTTGGTACTGTCAGGGGACACATGATAGTCTAAGTAGTTATGTGATTGGTGCCCATGGCAATTCGTCAGTAGCTGGGGAAGTGAAGCAGTAGAGGTGGTAACAGGGTTTTAATGTTGCCATTGCAGCAACAAACCAGCTGATAAGGACTAAATTGGTAGCAAGAGACATTATTAAGCACACCTCAGTTGAGCCTATTGATTGTGGGGTGAGGCTCTGGCAATCCTTAACTTCCTCTATCACTATTTTAATTCAAGCCGGTTCAGTGCCGCAACAGGTACTACAGATATGTACCCGAGGTAGTTTTAGGTTGTTTAGTATTATGTTTATATTTTTATATAATTAGGAGGTAGTTTTAGGTTGTTTAGTATTATGTTTATATTTTTATATGAGGTATAGGTCGTTACAGATACTGTCGCATGCCGATGGGAATCAGTTCAGCATCAGAAGTCTACCAGTGTGCAATGGAACATTTGCTAGCTGGATACCCATGTTTGGTGATAGTGGATGACATTCTGGTGTATGGAGCTACGGAATTGGAGCATGATGACAACCTCAAGATAGTGTTAAAGCGTCTCCGAGAAATCAACTTAAAGTTGAGTGTGCGCAAGTGTCAGTACAAGCTGCAAGAAGTACCATACATTGGACATGTACTGTCCAAGGACGGACTGAAACCGGACCCAGAAAAGGTCCGAGCAATCAGTGAAATGCCGACACCACAAGATGCGACTGACCTGCTTCGTTTTCTTGGAATGGTGAAATATCTCGCCAAGTTTGTGCCTAACCTCAGTGAAAAAGCCGCGCCGCTGAATGAACTGCTGAGAAAAGACAATGAATGGAAATTGGATATATCCCAGCAGCAGGCGTTTAATGAGATAAAGCAGAGTATTGCACAAGTGACAAATTTGGCGTATTTGGACGTCAAGAGAGGCGTAACACTCACATGTGACGCATCACAGAGTGGTCTTGGAGCAGCATGCCTACAAGATAGAAAACCAGTCGCGTACGCATCGCGTGCCCTAACACAGGCTGAAACAAGATACGCGCAAATAGAAAAAAGAACTACTCGCGGTGGTCTTTGCGTGCACAAGATTTCGTGATTACGTGTTTGGCAAGAAGGTGACGATTGAAATAGACCATCAGCCATTAGTATCAATAGTGAAGAAACCATTATCTGCAACTCCAGCAAAATTGCAACGCTTGCTGTTGAGGCTGCAAAGCTACAGCTTTAACATGGTGTACAAGAAAGGTAGTGATCTCCATCTAGCAGATACATTGTCGAGGGCATACTTGCCAATCAAGGACAGTGACACAGATCTAGAGAGCACACAGGACTATGAAATACTGTCAGTGTTGCCGATCAGTAGTAAGAAGCTGGAGGAGCTAAAGAAAGCTACTTCCAACGATGTCAAACTCAAAAAAGTTCACAGAGCCATCGTCATGGGTTGGTCGAAAAGTGAACCTGAGCTCAGACCATTCTATCCATTTCGTGATGAACTGATTGAAAACGAGGGTGTGATACTGAAAGGTCAGAAAATAGTGGTACCAAAAGCACTGCAACGTGAATACGCTAACTTAGTACAC